TTAGGTAAGCTCACCAGTCTGTCTTGGTAAAATTACCAATAATTGGTAAAAAAAGTGAGATGGTAAAGGTACCAACGGACCTTGATAAAAACTCCGAGAATTTTTTTTTCAGTGTGTCGAGTATCGTATACTGCCTTGCTAAGGAAGAACGCCGTATGAACATTAGAGAGTTGACAAATTTCCTCGGATAAAACGTGTATTTTTGACGAAATTTATGAATATTTTCCCTTAAAATGTCCAGATATTTTAGATTATGTTGCGAACACAATAGTCTGGAAAATGGGAAGAAAAATATTTTTAATATCCCCAATAAAATCGTACTTCATCAGAAGAAATTTGGCAACGCCTGGAGGTTCTAACGGCGTTTTTCCTTAGCGCGGCATTATAGTAGGGCTGATCGTTGAAAGTGATAGGAGAAGATGGCAAAGGAAGAATGGAGCGATCCTATTGCACTAAAAAAAAATTACGGGCTATCTAGACATACCGTCCGTTCCGGGCTCAGAGGCCGAAAGTTCCGGGTGTTGGAACCGTAGCTTCGACTGCTCTGGGTGTTACTCCCGGAACATTCAGCTTCTGAGCCTGAAACGCGAACGGCATGTCTATATAGCCCGTAAGTGCGGCTTCCATGGCCGGATTACTTATCGTCTTTGTCCATCGCAATCAACCGCTTCCACCGGTGCATTTGCCTTTTGTCTTCTTTGTCTATAGCTTTGTCCATAGATTTCAAGAATGAGCCCGCAGAAATGGATTTTCCGGTGTATGGAACGGACGATGGCTTCCGTGGGAAAGCTATAGAACACCGATGACTCTGCTACCGTGCTAAGAAAAAACATTGCCAAACTATCCATGAAAAACTAAGTCGCCCTAGGATCTCTGTACATTTTTTTTCTTTAAAATTTTTAGTAAGTTTCATTCCCAATTCTTGCAGTGCAATTGAAAATTTAAAGTAGGTGAACATATCGACGATTTCCTTCAAAGTTAAATATTTTAGCGGTGGAAACTTGACAATGTTCTAATGTTCTTACGGCGTTTTTTCTTATCACGGGACGGCATGCGGCAGTTCGGTTCATCTCGAAAAGCCCAAAGGGATGGACATGCTTTGTTCTCCCTGTGCTCCCCTTTTATTTTGAAGAATGCTCTCTTTGCGTTCGTCTCTTTCACTCAGTGTACCATCGTAAAACAATGGACCAAACAGACGTGCAGCATAATAGGATTAGCAGTCGTTTCCTCTGACCTGCGAAAAGCTTCAAGTTCAATAGTCTCTTCAAGGTTCAGTTTAAGTTATTCTGAGCCGAGTTCTCTCACTGCGTATACCCAGAGACACTCTTTTTTTTTTATTATTTTTTTTAAACGCGGCTAAAGAATCCGTTGTTTTCCCTCATTTGTAAATCACTTGACTTAGGAGATCTCAATCGCGTGACTTGCTGATCGATCCACAAAAAGAGTCATTTGTCGTAGAGTATTTTGACTAATATTTTCCTTTTTTCTTTTGTTTCCACATAATTTGATGCGTCCAAAATGGAGATGTTGCATGTGTGAGGGATTTGCGATTTGACCATTGATTCTCATGTAAAAGTTCGCGAGAAACACGATGGTGCCACTGGTTTTCTCTGAAATCATCTCCCAAGCTCAAAAAAAAGCTTTCAAAGTGAGGCCAAAATGGAGGGGATATCCCGCCCTACCCTGAGAGTCCACCTTTACATCAAAACAAACACTCCATGCAAAGATAGGGAGCAAATACATTAGCAGGGTTGCCACTTTATTTGGGGACTCCAACACTGAAAACACGGCAATCTTTGCATGGAGAGTTTGTCTTGATGTAGAGGTGGACTCTCAGGGTAAGGTGGGATATCCCCTCCATTTTGGCCTCACTTTGATAGCTTTTTTTGAGCCTGGGAGATGATTTCAGAGAAAACCACTGGCAACATCGTGTTTCTCGCGAACTTTTACATAAGAATCAACAGTCAAATCGCAAATCCCTCACACATGCAACATCTCCATTTTCAGGGAATTGATGTATAACTTTCGTCGAAAATAAGTATTTAATCGGGGGAAATTAGGCATCCTCCGAAACGTTCATACGGCGGTTTTTTTTAGCGGTCGACGAGCGGGAAACCTCAGGAACTTGCCGAGTTGTTACTCAGGGAAGATATAACGTCGGAAATGGAGTCTGCGCGCAGGAACATGGCTCATACTGCCGGCCGTACTCAGGAAAAACGCCGCATGAACATTCGAGAGTTGGCAAGTTTCCCCGGATCAAACATGTATTTTTGAAGAAAGTTACGCACATATTTTCCCTCGAAACTCTCAGATAATTTAGATTAAATTGCGTTTAAAATCTTGATTTTTTCAAGAACAATATTTACAATGTTTCCAGTAAATTGTCACTTTATCGAAGGAAAGTCGGCAACGCCTGAAGGTTCATACGGCGTTATTCCTCCGTACGGCAGCAAAGCCGATCGGCAGTCATATCGTCCCTCGTTCGGCCCACCGCGCCTCGCATCGGCCGGAGACTTGAACGCAGAACAGGAAAGTAGCACGTCGCCGTGCTCATCGCGACTCGTCGCACGGTGGATCGAGTCAATCGAAGAGGTCGCACATGAAATTTTTTACTAAAACCGCAAATTTTGATGTTTAGTTCGTCCTTTTTTAAAATCCAGGGGGTGCCGCTCGAAGAAAGTTTTACAAGGAAGCCAATGAAACCAATTTCAGAACCTCAAAGTTTTGTATAAACGGAGTTTTAGGGTTTTCAAATTTTGTCCGACCGCTCCCTTTGACTCGATCCACTGTGCGCCGTCGCGTCGCATGCCGGGTATACTTATACTTCTCACGAAACGTCACCGGCAGATTCATTACGGTGATATTTCGTGTCTCCCCGAGTCTTGAGTTCTTGACACCCAATACTCCATCCTCGTTCCTTCGCTCTCCGTTGTGACGGATCCGCCATCTTCCGACTTCGCGCCGATTTCTCGGCCAACGAGTTCGGTGATTCCTGGTCGCATCCATCCAGCGGTAAAGATGCATGCAATCACGGAGACCGACAATGCTAATGTAGTGGTTTTTTTTTTTTTTTTTTTTTTGTATGTTGTTTTACGCTTTATATCCGGGGGATACTTCGGCCTTGGAAGGGATCTGAAGTTAGAAAGAAATTTAGATTTTAATTAAAGCTGGGATGAAAGGGTAAGGGTAGGTATCATAATAGGTCTAGTGATTTATGTTAGTATTCTGTAGGAGATAAAGGGATAGTAATTAAAGGAGATTTTCCGAAGTTTTTCTGCTTTCTTCCACCTCCCCTGCCGAGCAGATGGATGTTGCTTCCTCTCAAGCATCTGCAAACATGACGCCCCTTGAACGCGCGGAAAAGGCAGAAAGACGCAATTAGACTACGTTTTCGAACAACGAACTACCATCTCTGTTTCATCCATTTAACAGCGATCTGCCCGGGGGAACTATTGGCACTTTCGTTGTTTCAAAGGTCAGGAAATAGGAAAATGGAAACCCTGTCTCGAGACCAGAGACAAGAGACCCTCCACTGGCCTGTTGGCGACAGGTGGAAGTTTTTAATTTCGGGGATTCAACAGTTCCTCATGGACAATTATAAGGAAACAATAGTCATCATCCTAATTTCGACTGTTGACCTACCTACATTGTGGATGATGAGCTTCGAATGACGTCATGAGCCAAATAAGTTTCCCAAACTTGTACCATTTTCGGCTTGTTTGCAAAACGAAACTGCCAACACGTTGTTGGACATCAACCACGTAGGTAAGTCAACAGTAGAATGCTCAAGTCCCGAAAGTAAAAGCTTCCACCATGGCCAAGATACTAGTGGAGGGTCTTTTGTCTCTGCGCGAGACTCAACTGAACTTGTTAAGGGCACTGCTTCCCCGAAGCTCGTATAGCTAACAAGAAGGTGCTCTTCAGTTGATAAAATTAGAATGTAGGCGACCATCAGAGCCCGAAAAGAAATGTTGAATCCCCGTAAGTAAATATTCAGGTAACATCAGGGGGGTCCAGAGACAAGAGACCCTCCACTGGCCTCTTGGGGACAGGAGGAAGCTTTTGCTTTTGGGGTTTCAACAATTCATTATGGACAATTATTAGGGAGTAACGGTCATCACCCTAGTTTCGGCTGTTGACTAGAGTACCTATATTGAGAGAGTATGGCCACTGAAGTTACCACCTCTGATTGGCTCAGCCATCTTAGGCTAAATGGAGCCCTTAGGACCCAAAAATGGCGGACGCCATAAATTAATGTAATGCAAAATGACTCAAAATGTAGTTTTCTTTGCTTATCGTAACGAGAAATTTGCTCAAATGCACCATTGCGACATCTTTACATATTTTTAAGGCTAATCGTGTGCAATTTTTGAGAAAAATTATCTTAGATGTAGTAAGGTTGGCAGCAAGTGCGGTTGGTGATAACCGTCAAAAGTTGGCAATGACCCCCCTCCCATCCACAAAAACCAAAACAAAGCACCGCCATTTTTGGGTCCTAAGCCTCTCCATGGGGCCCAGTGGCCATACTCTCTCAATACAGGTACTCTACTGTTGACCTACCTACATGGTCGATGATGAGCTTCGGGTGACCGTCATGAGCCAAACAAGTTTCCCAAACGTCGGCCATTTTCGGCTTGTTTGCAAAACGAAACTGCCAACACATTGTTGAACATCAACCATGTAGGTATGTCAACAGTAGAATGCTGAAGTCCCGAAAGTAAAAGCTTCCACAATGGCCATGATACTAGTGGAGGGTCTCTTGTCTGGGGGGGGGGGGGNGGGGGGGGGGGGGGGGGGGGGTCCCCTTTGTGTCTCTGGTCACTGCTCACGAAAGCAAGGTAAGTAAGCACCGGAGTCAATGTCTCCTTGTGAGAGGTTTAACCGGGTCTTACAGGTCGGAAGCTCGAGCCCGGCTGCGACTGTGAGTCAGTGAGTCTGTCGAGCGGCTTTGTTAAATATTAAACGGCTAACGGTGGTTCTCTCTCTTTCTCTGTTGATAGGAAGCTGGAGTGCGTGGCGCTGGAGGAGGGCGCGGGGGGTGCGGGGGAGTTGGTCCGCGCGTGCGCCCGCTGCCGCGCCGAGCTCGGGCGCATCATCAACCGCGGCGCCCTCTGCAAGATGTGCAAGCTCCGCGTCTGCAAGTCCTGCCGCGAGTACTTCACCGCCGCCACCACTGCGCCCACCGAGTGGCTCTGCACGGCCTGCTACAAGAACAAGTAAGTCCCCATCGCTCCGCCAGGGGCGCCACAGCTTCACGTCCTTTGCCTCCTCCAACGGCGGCACACAGTGCTGCCGTGCCAAGGAAAAACGCCGTATGAACATTCGAGAGTTGCCAAATCTCCTCGGATCCACTGTTTATTTTTTAGGAAAATTATGAATATTTTTCCTTGAAATTTTCAGACACTTTAGATCAAATTACAAACAAAATAATCTGAGAAATTGGCGGGAAAATATCCAAAAAATTTCCTGAAAATTAGTGATTTTCCCGAGGAAATTTGGCAACGCCTGAAGGTTCATACGGCGTTTTTCCTCAGCACGGCAGAGTGAGTCGAGGCAATGGGAGAGGTCGGACAAAATGTGAAAACTTTAAAAGCTTATGACTCTGTTTATGCAAAACTGTGAGCTTCTAAAAATAGTTTCATTGGCTTCCTCGTGAAATTTTCTATGACTGGCACCCCTTAAAATTGAAAATATGACGAAATAAGTATCAAAATTTGCAGTCATAGTCTAAAATTTCATGTCCGACCGAGGGTGGCAAAATTTCATGAAAAATAAAATACTGGAATTTCACGTGAAATATTTCATGAAATTTCAGAAATTCATGAAAGATATTGAAAATACCGGCTCCTTTTCGTGTTTCGCAAAATGTAAAAATTATGACTTTCTTCTATTTTAGTGTGTTTGAGTGCAGGTTGCATACTCTAGCCCCTGAAAAATTGAAACATTTCACAGTCTCGTGAAATTTCATGATATATTTCCTGAAATTTCCAATCTTATTTCTTTCTTACGTTTCATGCCACCCTGGTCCGACCTCTCCAATTGACTCGATCCACTGTGCGGCAGGGTGTTTCGTAGTTCGAGACTTTGGTGCTCTCGTAAGAGTTCGGTATTTTTTACCTAACTTGCATGAGTCAAATACAAAGTAACCCGAATAATCCAACAAAACAGAAGACAAGAAAATGGGGAACTAAGGCTAAAAACGATAAAATTACCTAGAAGTTAGCTTAGTAGTAGCCAATAGTTTTTAACCTTAGTTTTCCAGTTTGTCTTGTCTCGTTTCCTTTACTTGTAATTCGTTGGTAATACTCCCGAACCATGTATCTCGTTTGCCGTGTTAAAACTCTCCGCTCTCATTTTATTTTATTTTTTTCAAGGAGAATGCATCAACAGCACTCTTCAAAGTTTTCACAGAAGTTTTAAAGAATTAATGTTGAGAAGTTTTCTGTTTAAAACATCAACAGCTCACTCTCTAAAGTTTTGACAGAAGTTTCCTCGCACAGAGCAAAAAATTACAGAAGTTTCAAAGAATTAATGCTGAGAAGTTTTCTGTTTAAAAAATAAAGAATGACAGGAAGTCTGAAACCTTACAAATCGAGATACGTGGTTTGGGAGTTTCCTCATCGAATTGGACGTCATAAAGCTGTACCTACAGTGTATCTATTCTGCCTTGCTAAAAATGCCTCATGGAGTTAAACATCCAGGCTTTGCAAAATTACGTAATTAATCTTCGAAACATAACTGTCCCCTTTCTTACAAAATCAGCTTATGATCAATAAAACACCATCACACAACTAGAAAAATTGATCTATGAAGAAAGCCGCATGATACATGCCTTTCTCAAAAAAAGTTGTTCAGTATTTCCAGAAAGTAACTAAAAAAATTAAATGCACTGAAATGGTATAAATAGAGGACCGTAAGGAGATTCTTACACTTTAAATTGTCAAAAATAATCAGTTTAATCTGGTGATTAGAACCAAAAGTTCCTTTCAGATGAGTGATCTCTCTACGTAACAACTAAACTTCCATACAAACTGATTTCTAGAATTTGAAAAATTCAAAAGGATTAAGAATCATTTTCTGTTTTTACTACTGCTTTACATATGAATGGTTTATTCTAATTCCAAATCGTCTCTGTTACAGTGAATTTCAAATTGCTGATTCTGACTGGATAACTGATTATGTTCGATGCTCAGCTCCAAAACTTCTTGCAGGGAGCAGAATAAGTAACATACATAGTATAAAAAATTGTGTGCAGCGGTCCTTCACATTTTCAGGTGTGTTAAGTATAAATTTAAACGAATAGTTGTCTTCATCAAGAGGAACTTAAAGAATTTACAGGAAAAGCAATGCATAATCCTTTTGGATAAAACATTCTTTTAATGAAAGATTAACCATAAGTTCCATGAAAATCTTCCTGAAGAAGGAGTACACATATCTTCAAGAATATTCAAAGGGCTACTGTCGCTTTCATCAAATAAAGAAAAAACGGATGAAATTTGTAAGAACAAATATTCTGCAAAAAAAACTAACATGTAGCTAAGCTGATCCCTGTGGTGGTTTGTCAGTGACAGCTTTTATCACCTTTTGTCTGTCATTTAGAAATGAATGTATGTTTTATTTTTGATATGATTCTGACCTCTAGGAAGAGAGATTTTATCAATGTGACAATCAAAAACATGTTTCAGATTTTGATGCAGTAAAGATGATAAAAAGTGTCCATTAAAGCTGCACTACCTCATTTTGAAAATTCCATTGTGGTCGAAAGTTCGGAAGGGACCAGAGAAATCAAAACAGTAACCATAAAAACATTGATCCAAAATAAGATTCCTTACAGTTTTTTGAAAATATATCAGAAATGACAAACAAATATTATTTTGGGAAGTGATTCCTAAAATCGTATAAGCATGGGCCACCTTCAAAACTTCAAAAAACGGTTTTGTGCAACGAACATTACTGAAATGAACTATTAATCAAGATTTTAATGTTTTCATTGAGCACTGGCCACAAAAAATTTACATTCTCTGCTCACAAAAAGACTCATAGTCCATGTGAATCAAATGGAACACCACAACGGTTTTGCAGGCTTTTTAACAGCACCCTACCCTGTGTTGTATTCAAACAGTAAACAACAGGGCAACTGCTGAGTCGAAGCATCGAGATTGAGTTTATGTAATATTTTCATACTGCAGAGACTTTTAGGATGAAGTTTGGTGTGTGATTTAATTCAAGTAGATAATGGTCTTTTCATGAATGGGAAGTTTGAATTTATGCACAAAAAAATATTTATATCTTGGTTAGGATTTACTTTCAATGATTTTGATTGCACAAATGATAGGTATTCCTCCTGCAATTGTGATGAGAAAACATACATCATATTGCACAAATTGGCAGTTTGTTTAGATGTCATTCAGAGTTGACCGCACACAAGTCTGCTGGAAGTTTGAATCAGTTACCAGGGTATGGTTTTTTGTTGCAACAATGACTTGAAAGAAGTTCAGAAATAAGGCTCCAATTGGTGGTTTTAGGTCTTCGAGTAGCCCTAAATAAAATCTTTGAAAAAATTCAGTATTCAAAATTCATTCTACCAATAGTCTGAATCAATCACTCGAGCAAATTTTTGGGCACTTAAGGAGCCTAGAAAAGGGTGTAAGCTCAGGGTCCAATTTAGAAGCCTGAAATTTTTTGCTTCATTTGTCTCTAAGTTTTCATTTTCAGGTGTATAAATTTGCCACTGGATCAATCATGTAAAATGCATTGAGTTCCCTAACTAGTGCTATTCCGAGGTTCTCATCATTTACCATCATCGCCTTCACGCTCTAGACTACTGTCAGAGATATTCTCTGATGGTTTTTTTCAAGACTACAAGGCAGAGATTATAAAATTTTCTCTATAAAAATGCAGTTTTGGTACTGTAGGATCCTGCAAGTGAAAAGTCCTTGTTGCTGATTAGACTTTCTGCTCTCTGATTCACTGGCTTAGAGCCTTGAAGATTGTTTACTCTCCCAAATTAGTGATTTGGTCTTTAGTACCATTAGGAAGCTGAGGGTATTATGAAAAATTAGTGATAAAGATCCAAGGGTTCAAAAATTTTCGGAGAATTGATGGTTTGGCCGACTGTCGAAACTCCTAGTTTTGAGCAAAAGACTACAAGAAAAGTTTCAAAGATCCTTTTTCAAATGGTGATTGCTTGGAAATGAAACCGATTGCACCCTTTTATTAGCAATAAAATTGAGATAATAAAGGATGTACAACATATTGCAAAAACACAGGAAGAACGTATCCTGGTGAAACCTCAATTACTACACTTTCAAAGCTCTTATATTCGGATTTATTTTCATACTCACATTTTTGTATGAAATTCACGGACAATTTCCAGGAAAAGCATAAAAAAATCTAACAATATGTTTTGCATTAACAATAGTTGGTAGCCTTTTGACAAAGTTGTAACACATAAACTGAAACCTGAGTTTTCCAGTTTCACCATTCTTATATTATTTGAGATTCTTGTCAATTCCTTTATGTGTTCATGATTGGATTTAAAAAATGAATGAATAATAGTGCTCTGTTTCCGATCACAGATACAAAACCATCCCGATGGGCAGCTTTACGTGGATCCCCGGAGTTGCGCGCATACAGCAGCATGCCTCGCCATCAGGACGGTGACTATGCCCCATCAGTTTTTAGACGAAGAAACAAATGCAGCATGATCAAAGCAGAAAACGAACAAATCAAACCCGAGCCGACTGTAGAACGATGTATGTTATGTGTGCAGCTCAGCACTCCCACTTCTTTTCATTGTGTTTTATCCAAAAAACACTATGTTTTCTATCTTGAACACGTTTAGTATAATCATATAGAAATTAGAAGAGAAGAGGAGGGGAAGATTAAAGGGTGTTCCAAGCTGAAATAGTCTAAATGAACCGCTAGATAGCGTCAGAACTTACGCTTTTTACCCTTTTATGATACAATATGATGTTTTGTAAAACGCCCAAAACTTATTTTAATAAACTCAAGAGCTTCCTCTCACCTATATCAGGGGTGGAGTGCACACTCTATAGGCGAAGGGAAGCTCTGAGTCTATAGAAAACGAGTTTTTAAGGCTATATCATAAACTTCTACTGTTTCAAACTTTAAACCTTTTTTCCTAGTTATGATGTTTTGTGCCTAAAATTGTGTCATCACGGTATTTCATTATGGAAGAAATATTTCCATTCTCAGCAGGTTTCTGTTCTGAACGTGCCATTCACGTGCATTTTCCTCAGTGAACCCTAGAAAAGATTTCTGTTAAGAGCGGTTTTTTGTTACAAGAGCAACTGGTGATGACTAGATTTTACTTTCTTAAACTAATCTTAATGAGCTTGATAATCAATCGGTCATGTAGAAAAATTTGAGTGATTATTCCTAATGCAAACTGTAAATGCAAAGAAAGAGTATGAGACATCTTGTAAATGAGTTGATTTTGGATACTTTTAATGCGTTTATCATGTTCTGCATGAAATTCTGATAAGAAATGGAATGATAGTCTGCCAAAACAACCGTTAGTGATCCAGTTTTGGCAATTTGGAGTTGCTAAAGAAGTGATACTGGTAAAGAGCCTCTCTATAAGCGTAATAAAGGAAAAGCAAGCTGTGCTCTCCAATACATACATATCAGAGATTACAGCTCGTTCTTTCCTCAGCACATGGAAAGAAGCTCTTCAGAAGAATCATGACACTAGTAACTCAAAATCTCCGAGAATAGATTATGGTTGTTTTTACCAACAGCCAGTCGATTACAGTGCTTGCCATAAAAAGTAGCAGCTGAGGAGCGTAGCCAAAGGATCACCTCAGTGTATTGCCCAGTGGTTTAAACACAGGAATTGTTTCTTACCAATACCCTCAGTTGAATGAAGCCAATTCTTGATCTTTAAACAACAAATTGAACCTGTAATTTTATTCCGACCCTAGGCCATCAAAATTTTATGGCAAGGACTAAAAACTTGGTAGCTTTTTCATTGTCACCTTGTTCAATGGTCTGTTTTCCTCAGTTGCCAGATAGTATTTAGTCTTTTGCCAAATTCAGTCGCTACACAAGCAGGAATTGTTTTTTGAAGAAAACAGCTCAATCATAACAATGAATTCATTACCAAAGTTGAAAGTTGACTCCTCATCTTACCATCTGGGCAAGATACTTGTGCATGTTTGAGCAGCTTCCCCCTTCAAAAAGTATATGACAGCGAAGACGAAATTTTATAGAAATGGGTTGACTTAGTTTCATGATTCCGCTCGAAATTCAAAATGACTTTTTGACCTCTCATTTGATGCAGCTCCTAAAATTCAAACAAACAACAAAATTACTTCTTTTCATGAAATGCCGTCTGAATATCAGGAAAGTAAAGGTGGTGAACAAGAGGTACTTTTTAATGGAGAAGCTGCGTCACATATTAAGGGCACTTTGAGTTTCATGTGGGGATTTGTGAGACCAGGTTCACTCATCTGTATCAAATTATGTCTCTGTTGGAGCATACTAGTTCAAGGAAGATGCTCACAATAGCTATTTTCTCATGCATACTGTAAGGTGAGAATTGCATTTTAGACTTTGTCTATGCATTCATTGTGATATATTTTTAAAATTTTATGTAATAAACACCTCTCATATTTGCTCTAACTGAAGGTTGCAACAGACTCATTTATATCTGTTCTGAGACGGATTTTGATAAGTACATGGGTATTAGTGACCCTTGTAGGCACATGCTAAAATGTGCAAGGTATGAAGAGATTAGTTTTGCGAGAAAGAACCACAAAATAGTGGAAAAACAAGGGCTCCGCAGCTTTGTTTTCGAAAGAATCAGTGGAATTTAAAGTTTCAATGCCATAAAATCAGCTGAAATTTAATCCCTCCAAGAGGAATCATTACTTTACCTATGTATCGAGGAGTGGTAGATGACTATTTACTGGACAGAGTGATGATGGCATTGGTCATAAATACCTATTTGCGTTGGGTGTACAGAATTAAACTTTCAAATTTAGAGTTTTGTAAGTGAGAGTCAAGCTCAAGTCTTCAAGAGTGACAGTAATTTCAACATAAATAGATCTCTTGTTTAGAAAATCAAGGTTTTTTCCGAACATTTTTTTTTGAGGAGGTAGTAGATGTCACTGTATCTTTTTAAATCGAGCTAGACTAAAAATAGTCTTTTTAATTGAAGATGGTTTTATGACCTAAAAGTAGTAGATTGAGCAGTTGAGTGGATTTTTATCAGACCCTGATTAATTTTTACTTCTGATGCAGTCCTTGCTTAGTGTGTTCAACAGGCTGCGTAACATGAACATTTCCTCTCAGAAATATGTTACTTGAATAGGGTAAAGAAAAGTTCGGAAAAAGCAGTTGCTGTGTTTGTCAGCACATGAATTTCTGTCAAATGGTGCCGTTTTCTGATGTGACATTTGTCCAATCTCTTCTTTCCCCAACCTTTGTGAAAAAATCTCTCTGCAATTCATGGTATCCTTTCTTTGCATTGTATCGTGATTGTCTGTGATTAACTGATTATCAATCCTTAGTATAGTCTATTACCATCATTATTTATAGCTATATCAAGAAGAGAAAAATATATTAATGATCACAGTCAACTAAAATGGGGCTAGAAGTTGAATCATTCTAAAATAGAAAATTAGCATCAATTCATTGGTATAATGAGGGTACTTCAATAAGTATGTTTTCCTCCTTGTAAAATCCATGAAAATGGACCACTTTTCAACTATCTCAAAATTTTCCTTAGGATATACTAAATCCAAAAATCAAAATTGGAGAAAAGTCAAATAACATACTGCTTTGAAAACCACAGTTTCCTCAAAGCATGAATCTCACCCGCTCAATCTGAAGTAAAATGCGAAGTATGAAGGACTCTGCACACTCCTTTTGGGGATGTATACCTTGATCAATTTTTAATTTTTTTATTGTTTTAAATTTGTCTATGGATACTGATCAAAAGCCATAAGTCATTATGCGCCAACTTTCTGCAAGCCACCGTTTTTGCTCAATCCACAATTGCAGTTTTGGTAATTTTCAAGACAGGCTGGCTAAAGTCAAAACGAAGTGCGTGTCTGTCTGGCAAAGGCAATAGAGAGGAAGAGAGAAAGAAACTGATTTGGACGTTAAAACGAGAATGCATGCGGAATCCGAGATAAGCATGTCGCTTGGCTGCTGATTGCTTTTCCTGTTTACATGATTTACAGGTACTAACCCGACTGACCCGAACGGCTCAAGTATTGCGTTTATCGCAACTTTTCAGCGTATTGTGCGGAAATGGTGCCTTATAGAAAGTTTGCGCAATGATGACTTTTGACCAGGATCCATAGACAAATTTAAAACAATTAAAAAAAAAAATTGAAAATTGATCATGGCACATATCCCCATAAGGAGTGTGCAGGGCCCTTTCTGTGACAGGCTTTGTAGACATTGAAAAATCTTACCAATCAAGATAAATTCAGGATAAAACAGGGACATACATTCATTTTCGATAAAGTCACCTTCTTTATCAATAGATTTCCATTACTAAGTAGCTTTTTCACTGACTGACATGATTGACTTGACATTGACTGTTGCGACTGATTTTAAGGTTAGTAGAGAGAGTACAGCTAGCTTTTCACTTTTTTTGCGAAAATCAATCGCGTGACCTTATGCCTGTGGGACTTGGTACTTGGTACTAAGCTGGCTACTTGGTACCAAAAATGCATGGCATGAAAAAGTAAGGTATGTCTTTATTTTATCCTAACTTAATCCTAGGTATTGAAAATTTTCAGTGTCAGCAAAGCTTGTCTGGAGAATTTGAATCTAATTTGATTTTACAATTAGATCTGCTGGTTGAGATTCACACTGTGGCGGGAACTTGCGGCTCTCTTGCAGTCGCATTTTCACTGATTATATTGTGATCCAAACTCATAGATTCAGTATTCAGTAGCCTCTCTGAGGAAATTTTTGAGATTGTGTTATTTAAAAGCATTGCATTTTTATGAATTTTGCAAGTGGACTTACCCATTGAATGGTCTTCTTATGCTGAGAAGTTGAATTCAGGAAGAGAGCAAAGCATTTAGCTAGAAGGTCAACAGTCAATTGAAATTGAGGGTCGAATCTTGTTGGTAGTGATCTAATGAAAGTTAAGTCAGCTGAAAGAAAGTCATGCTGATTTTTCCATTGAAGTAAGGCTTCATTTAAAATTGCTTCACCAATATTTTAAAGTCAAGCTGTTTCATATGCATATGTTTTTTAGTCAAATGGAGATAAAATTTTGAAAACATGCGCTTAATAATAAATTCACACTTTTAATACACAGATTTTAATTGAGTTTTTTCTCTCTTTTTTTCAGGCCCTGTAAATATGAAAGATGAAAATTCTGTATTAAAAACAGATACTCCTTCAACGGCAGATGACTCTGCGGAAACAAACGATGAGAACAGTCCTGTTAACTTCATCAAAATCGTTGACTCATGTGGATTGGTCCTGGATATCCCAGCAGTGGCAACCTCTGATGAGCTCATCGTGGATGACTCTGAACAGAGTAACGCCCAGACCAATAATGAGATCCCACAGCCTTCCGCCAGTACAAAGATGACTAAGGTCTACCGTAAAAAGTCAACTGGCTCCCTCAAGTCCTCTTTTCTTGATTCGCTATCGAATCGAGTTCAAGAAGTGACGAGAAGAAGGAAAGCAATAGATTTTCGCAATCTTCCTCCAGGTGAGTGTTTTTGCTCAAATGATTTGTGACCCGGACTGGTGCTGTAATTGAAAAACTAACTAATCTGTTGGGTTTAACCTGGTTTCATTTGAAAGAAAACTTTAAAGAGAAATAGAATCGAGACCTAGATTACCTCAACTGGAAAAAAATTGGCCAAGTCATGGCAATTTGAATAAAAAATGTACGGCAACCACCCACACATTTGGTCTGCCATCTACTTTTACTGAAATGTGCAGATAAAACTTTTTAGATACTCCTTTGCATGGTAATATGAATACTGCTTGGTAATATCTAGCATGACTTGGAAATGCTGTCTGATCATTGCGCTATTGGAGCCCTAACTTTAAAAATCATGTGAAAACCTGTGAATGAATTGGTTATGCAAAAACAAATGGTGAAGTTTCTCCTGCTAGTTTTTTTTTTTTTTTTGTTTAGTTCGCGTCTTTTGCAGCTTTTTGTTGTTTCTTGCTCATTTTGTAAACTTTCTGTGAAAACTTATCTGTTCTCATATTAATTCCAATTCTCAAAAAAAGTTTGTGAAAGTGGTAACATGTCTCTAAAGTTCAGAACTTTATATTGGCAAACAGTGTGACAGGGCTTGTTGTTCTAAGAAGGTGTGAATGGATTTATTATGTGTAAAAAATTATCATCGGGTACGAAGTTGAGGTTTTTCAAACTTCCTTTCCTCTTTATACTAGGACACATCCTGTCTAAATACGCTCTGAGCTCACCTGCCATTCCAGGGTGGCAAGCATCAGGGAAAACCGGGATAGGTCAGGGAATTTTCAACAACCGGTAAAAGTCAAGAACTTATCAGGGAATTTTGTACCCGGTCAGGGAATTTTTGCGTATGAACGATTGCATACTGTGATGAGCGCTACAATGTGACCATTCTGCAACAGTGTGAAGATCGGCCGTTTTCATCCAATTTTTCTTCGCACTATACGCAAAGCAATTTTCCCATTTCAAAAAAACTAACTATTTTTCAGACAAAAGTTTACATCCACGATTCCTGAGTTTCCAAATTCCTTCTTTATTTTAAACGACAAAAGAGGAATAATTTAATATTTCCCTTTTCTTCCTTTATCATTCAGCCTCAAAGCCCTCACAGGAATAGACTCAGTTGGCTTTGAATTTTAAGGTTATGAAATGGTTGCCTCTTCTTTATCGAAGCCGATCAAGATTTGTATTTCTTGCTCAACTGCAATGCACCAAAAAAACCTTTTCGAAACACTAAAACTATCCAGCAAGCAAATACTGTTTTCCATGAAAAAAATGTGTTTGATTTGATGGTTTGCGATAATTACCAAAGGTCAGGGAATTCTATCCGTAAGTCAGGGAATAGTAAGGGAATTTTGAAATAGAATTTGACTTGCCACCCTGCATTCGCAGGTGTGCAAAAAATCGTGATCATCAGAGTACATCAAACATGAGCTAAATTTTCTGAACATTGAACCATCTGACAAACTCTTTTTAAGTCTCCTTTCTGTGTTTGTCACTATGAAAAGTAGAGCAAGCCAGACACTTTTCTAAAATGTCGGTGAGACAAATCAAAACTAGAAGCTATGAGACGTGAACAGCAGATTGTAAGAAATGGTCAGCATTTTTACGGAGGAACTGGCTTTGTCTCAAAACTGATGAACTTGACAAAGCCGTCACTATGCGTTCAAGTTTACTGAGACCTAAAATCAACCTCTTAGTAATGTTACAATGCTTTTATTGAAGAGTTGGTTTAAATTTTCGGAGACATCTACCGATTGAGATGATTTGCTCAAGAGCACAGAATCATCGTTCTAAAGTGTCTATCTATGTAAAATTTCTAACGAGTTAGACTCGACCGAAGGTTGAAAAAACTACCTGGAAATTAGATCCAGCTAGGTCAAACCGCAAGGTCTGAGATCATTTGACTTATTATGATTCAATTGTGCTCGAGATGATTTTTGGAGTTGTATAAGTTTTGTCTTTAGTGCCTGTGAAGCCCCTGAATATAATCTGGGTGGTTAATAGTTTTTTTTTTTAATTCAGAAAGAACAACTTTACTTTCGTGACAGATACACGACTTTGTTTGTGCATTAAATCTCCTCCTATTAGGACTTGCAAAGTAGCTCTGTGGTAGCCTGTGTTGCTCATTTTCGTTAGGAAGATAGCTCAATCCTCATCTTCTGTCCAAAATTTTTGTGTTGGGTTTTATTTTCTCAAATTATTGTTTTTCCACAATTTTTTCTTCCATCCGTCCACACATACTTATAGAGAGGAAAATCAGAAGGCTCTACTGAGTTGAGCTGTGATGTACACACCATAATAAAAAGTCTTTTGCAAATCTTGTAAGTCGAAACATGACAATTTGGACGGCTTGGATAGTGAGTGTAGCATTTGCAGTCAGGAATTTTTTTTTGATCATATGAGATGCATTTATGTAAAACTTCTCGTCCCTCTAATAACACGCTTTTTTTTTTCTGGCCTAAAGATACCACACTTTTTTAGAGAGGGTTTGATTTTCTCCCTGATATTAACTGATTTTACCATAGTCAAACTGCCTTTTCATGGCCCTTTCATTTTCCAAACCCTTTTTTCAAACTCACTCTTGTGCTATTCGTAGTCTTGATGATAAGAAATTTCTGCATCTCTGGGAAAGAAAGTCCCTTAAACTCTCTTGACTCTAGTGTTCAAAAAATTCAATCAAATCTTAAATTATAATTTTAGAGTTTAAAAGTTTTGAACACATCACCACCTTCATGAATTTTAACGTTCCATACTGTTGGTTGAGGATAATAGAGTACCTGTATAGCGAGAGTATAGACAGATGTGAAACTCCGAAAATCCATCAGGCCTTTACCGATGCCTCCGTGCATAAAGTTAGGGCCCAGAAATGCAGTCAACCTATGAATTTGAATTATCCAGAGTGATTTACTAATACAATTGTTACAAACCATCGTTTCTAAAGCATGTATTGGACTTAGTTTTTGCATAAATTTACTCATTTTTGCAGAAGAACGCTCATTTAAGTACATTCTTAGCCATCTTGGTTAGAATTGGAATCTGCAGACTGGCAGTGAAATTTTGGGCGTTAGAAGTTGGTTAGAAGGTTGGCCGCACTTTTGGCCCCTAAGCCCTCCATGAAGCGATCTGTCCATACACTCGCTATATAGGCACTCTAGAGGATAACCGCTTAGGTGTTTCTGAAAAGCTTTTCTGTCAAAATGCATTGATCTTTGTCTCAATGTCCATAGAAAAATAGGGCTCAAGTTAAAGTATTGAGTATAATTATACGGTATCAATAAAGTAGGTACAGAGTATTTTTTAACTGAAAAAATAAATTTTTATTTTTTTTAATCTGAAAATTTTGAGTCGGGAAAAACAAAAAAATTAAGAGACAAGTCAGGGAAAAGAAGGATGTTCAAAAATGAAGAAAATTTGGAAAGCCTTGCATGCAGGAACCAAGTGCATTTTGAAAGAAAAAAAAAAATTAATTGATCTCTGAATAAAACACGCTAATGGACTGTCTTATTTCTATGTTTTTATGTTTGTTGCGACAGTGGTGTTGTCTAATTCATTGTGTTTCGATTACAGGTGTGACGCCTCCGCGTAGTCGGCGCTTCAAACACCCGGAGGAAGGTGACGCAACACTAGATCCGGTGGCCCAGGTGTTATTCCCGGACTCGGACGACTACCGCCTCGTCTTCATAAGCTCCTCGGACTCCTCGTCGCGCGAGGAGCTGCCCTACGGGTCCGCCTCCGAAGACGAGAAATCCTCCACCTCTTCCCTAGTCCACCCCTCCCTGGAGGACGGCGACTGGGACTATTTCGAGGACCCGCCGCCGGGGAGCGCCATCGGTTCCTTCTCGGCCGCCGCGCCAGATCGCGCCAGCACCGTCGCGGAGCGCGCCGCGTTTCCCGCCACCGCGCCGGAGTTCAGTTTCGTATCGAGTCTCCTCTCTTGCGCGTCGCCCGTGCAGCCGCTCGTAGTGCCCGTTCCGATCCCGATCCCCATCCTAGTGCCGGTGCCGTGGAACCCCGAGTTGACGATCCGCGTCGAGCACGGCGTGTCGCCCGCGCTTCGCACCCTCTTCCAGCAGAACTGGAGCGAGTACGTCCGCGGGTTCGGTGCGGTGACGGGGTCGCCAGCGCCCTCTAGCGGGGGCCCCGCGCAAAGTGCAGTGCAGTGCGATGAAGGGGTGAGCGGCGGAGATGCGCCCCCCGTGAGTGACGAGATGGATTTGCCGGACGTGTGCCCCGAACACGACGCGTCGAGGAAGAAGTTCGCCACCCTCCCGCTCAGCGAGCTCCGCTCCGTCGGGGAGATCCTCTCCAAGAAGCCGGTCGCGGAGGACCAGACGGACGATGCCGGGGAGATAGTCCTCAAGAAGTACCAGGTCATCGAGGATGCCGCCGATCACAGCCCTGACCCGGTCAGCTTGAACAATATTATCAACAAGCAGCTCACCTCTGAGTTTTCGGTCTCTGACTCGGATGCTTCTGACAACGAAGAGAATTCGGTACAACGAATATACAACCTCCACAAGTCGGCGGATTCTGAAGATTCAGAGTCTTCGGCAGAGGATGACATCGAAGAGGAGAAGACCCATGATCTAGTCTCCCTGAGTAATTTAGATGCTAGTCCTGGTGTTGAAACTTTGATGTCAGATGTTTCAAATGTCACTGAACTAAGTCAGGACTCTTTGAACCCACCAGATCAAACCCAGATGCCACCTAGTTCAATAAACAACAAAGTAAAAAGTAGATCGAAAATATCCCCGAAAATATCTGCACGGTTGGATAAATTCAACCAAGTGGATCAGTCAGCCGCTGATAGCAATGGGAAAATGACAGTAGCGAAAAAAATTGAAAAGAGCTTTGTGGCTGGAATGACAGAAAAGTTGTCGAAAAGTGATGAATCAGAGTCAAAATCTGAATTGGTTTCTAGAAATACTTCAAGTAAAATTTGCGCAACATCATCCTCGTCATCAGATGAGTTTTCTGGCACAGAATCGATGGAGTTGATACCCACTGCAGAGGATCTGAAAATGGAAAAGGACTCAGAAGCAGAGATGAGGAGACTCTCGCCAGTTTTAGATGCTAAAACTGAACCGTCCTCGGACGAAAGTATCTGTGATAAAGAGCCGAAAAGCTCAACCCCAATCAAAGACCAAAAAAGGGCTGATCCTGATGACTGTAATATATCGGATGAAAATATCGGTGACAGCCCAAGTGGTCGGTTCACAAGTCTTATCATGATAACGAGTGATCAGGCTGAAATAGAACCCGAGTTAGAAGACAAGAGTAATGTTAATATTGTAACAAATAGTAACACTCAATTAGTGCAAGATAAAGCTGAAAAGAAAGAAGAGTTCAAACTCACTCTTAACACAGAACAAGATGTAGAAAAAACACCGCATGTGTCACGATCCAATTCTGAAAGTGACGCTAATACTGATGAAGTTAAAGTAGTGACTGGTGGTGACACGCTGTCAGCTGTGATTTGTCTAGAAGAAGGGTTAGCGGATGATGATTCTTGGGTAGAGGAAATTGATCATAGTGACACTAACCGAGGTGATTATGATGAAGATGATAACTTTGATGATGATAATGATAATTTTGATGATGATTACGATCACTATGATGATGATGATGATGATGATGACAAGAATGTTGGTCTGATGAAAAACATCTCAGACTTCCAAGGTCACACAGAGGAAGAACTACGAGGCTACCATCGCTCAGCTATTGATTTCACACTTCATACAATTCTAGAAGAGAGCTGTGAAGAAGCTAGTGAAGTGGAAGAGTCCATGAGTAATACGAAAAATAATTTAGAGAATTACTTTTTTGGTTTTATTGGATCTGATGCTCAGCTAGAAAACAGCTCAGGCTCTCTAAAAAAGCTTGATATTGGATCCATTGATGTAGATATTCGGGACTTGGACAGCATATCTGACACAAGTTCAATATTTAGTGAGGGACTAGAGTCCTTTGAAAGTATCGAGCAAGCCAGCTGCTCAACTCGGAATAACAAGAACGATGATGAGAAAACACTTGATGCTGCTGACCTTGCATCATCACGGATAGAGAAATACTTCCTATCAAGTTTGATCGGGAATCGAAGAGATTCTGATGGGAGTGTGGGGAGCGACAGTGAAGGCAAACCCTCGCCTGAGCAGCGCAGAAAGAAATTGGTGCGAGCCCGAGGAACTGGGCGGTCTTATTCCAATTCATTAGATAATTTAACGGAATCAGAACAGCAAGTGGAAATGTTGCTCGACTCAGAAAGCTCAAGCTCAGAAACAGATGCTGAGGAATTGTCGTTCGATAAAAATGACGGGTTTGATACCGTCAAACGAATCAATAAGAATATAATTAAAAAGAAAAGGTCCTCAGTTACAACACCCAACCTAGAGCTTTTGGAGCTGGATGATTCTCATCCATTAAATAATGAAGCCAGCATTGATGAAGAAACAAAAAAAGTGCAAGCGGAATTGTATGTTTTGAACGCTGATAGCAGAAATAAACAACAGAGTAGAGATAGTGGGTTTATGGGCAGCTGTGATGACCTTTTGTCCAACAACCACAAAGAAGATGAAATCTCTGCTAACGTTGCCAAAGAAGATGAAGTGAAACCCCATCTGGAAAGTGACTCCTCGGTGCAGGAAAACAAGTCTGATCCAACAATTATGAGCAGAACAGCACCTGCAAACTCCTCAATGTGCGGATCTGGGCTCATGAGGAAAGACAGTTTCAACAATTGGAGTAGTGATGAGGAGACAAATATCATGATGTCGAAAATGAAGCAGTTCTTCAAGACTATGATAGCCAAGCAAACTTCATCTAATGCTCCAGCCAGCCCCAAAACTCCCAATGTCAAGGCCCCAAAGAAACCTCCGCAGCTCCTGCACTTTGAAACAGAACTCACAAGGCTCATGAAAACAGTCCCAGGCATCCGTGATGATCAAGTCAAAGAAATTGTTGAATACCTATCAAGTGAAGACACTTGGAGCGACTCGTACGATTCATCAGACTATACAAGCTCCGACTTAGAAATGAACAACAAGTCGGCACAAGAAGGAGCTGGACCTGTTTTATTGGAAGGCAGGAAAAAAGATGACACAGACTTAGTCTACCAGCGTTTGGTTGCATCATTCAACCGAATTGATGCACACTCTCAAAACTCAGACTCGTCTTCATCTCACTCATCCCCACCATTAATCACTAAAGTTATGCAGCACATTGGTAGTCGACTTGTTGCGCTCATGCATGAGGTCTCGAGTAACGATTCTCATGAGTCGAGTCCAAAGACTTATCGTAGCTACCATCGAAGAAAGCAGGCCATGGTGACCTCTGATGATGAATCAGTCGAAGACTTTTATGCTCTACCAAGGTCTAAGTCCCATGACCCACTGCTAGATGAGAACCGCCAAGAAACCAGCGACAACGAACGGTTTAGTTGGCGCGGAAGTTTTGAGTCAGCTCTTATGACTTCTTCTGACTCACGTCAAAGATTATCATCAACAGGAAACACAGATTCCATGTCTTCGTCTGCCCTGGCATTGGCAGCAAAGAGGCGTTCTGCTGGTGATCTCCAAATGAAAAGCTGCAGTCGTGAGCAGCTGGACCGTGTTAGGTCTTGTGGAAGTATTGGTGGTAGTGTGGAAGACAAAATCTGGAACTTGAAGCATTCATCAAGTAAGAAACGGCGAAGTTCGGTGCCAGAAACAACACCCTCCGGAGGGTCAGCCGATGATGATGATTCAAGTAACGAGCTCACTCCTAGTGGTAAGTCCACTACGCTCCCACGAATAGTGCAAGCTTCATGTGCGGCTACTAATTCTCTCCCGCGTTTACCTGGTTCATCAAATTCGGCAAGTCCAAGTATCTACAAAGCGCACAGTGTTCATCAGTTCAGTGTTAAGTCTGCAAGATATCGACCCCCTGGATATGGGTCACGGAACTCCAACTCTGCTGTACCTCCGCCACGACGAGATACAGCACGACGTAGGATTCAACCAAGTGCCTCAGCATCAGCTCTGTCTTCACCCAGTATCGGTGAGTGTCCTTTTACTTTCAAGCTTTAATCGTAGCCATGACTTTTAACGTACAATGGCAATGTGCAAAGAGCCTGCATGGAGTGATTGTAAATTTATCTTTCTAATGAACAAAAATTTATCCCGAGGGCTGAGTTGAAAAGTATTGATAAAGGGCAAGATCATTGAATTTTAATACTTTGAAAAAAACAGTATCAAGAAGTATCTTCTGAACCTTTGTATTTATCTCACTCTTAAAAGAGTGGAGACTCACTGTACCTAATGGCTGATTGTCTACTACTTTTGTCCAAATCAATTAATCTATTTATTTAGCAAAACGTTTCTGCATGGGTAGAGAAAAGAAATTTTCTTGAACAAATCCATGTTGTGTTTTGAACAGTTCCAGGAAATTCTTAATGCATCTTTTGAATTCTGGTATCATTTGATTAATTGAACGTTAAAATCAAATCCTAATAAGTAAAAACTGTTTGATTATATCATGCACTCCTCATTTTGAACTTTTCATCAATTTATCTGGATCTAGTTAGGTATGTTTCGTTGAAAAATAACTCAATATTTGCTGAAAATAAGTATTTGAAGTGAAGAGATGGATGTATAATTTACGTCAATGATTTTGGCTTGAATTGCTTCTCAAATTGTGTTCGTTTAAATTTAGTATTAACTTGTTGTTAGTGTCCCTGTCCCGTGCAAATAAAAATTTGCCTTTTCTTGCTGGAAATTGAAGTCTTTGAAAATGTGATTGCAGTAGGTAGATTTTTGACTATGTATTTATTTCTTAGCATAGGTCTTGGATGGTGCTAATTCTCAGTCACAAGTGTTCAGAGTGGATTATAGGTGCTCTTAGAATTTAGAAAAAATAGGGAAATTTAGAATCATATGTCCTGCAATCTACTTCAGAATGTATGGTATGAACATTTAACTTGAGTTGCAGAGATGCTGAGGAACCAATAGAAAATCATTTTAGTTGCAAAAAAGATAAGTGCCAAAAAAAGCGGAACTGATTTTTCTAGATTTTATTTATTAGAAGTATGAGTTTCATAATTGGAAACCAAAGAAATTTCAATTTTATCAAGTGCCTAGTTACTTTATTGCCCCCTTGTTACATTGTATATTTGTGTAGGTGGTAAGGAGTTTTCAATTCGATCAGTGTCAAATGCATTCTATCCACTTCTTTTATCGATTAAAAAATGGGGGGGGGGGTGGAATTAGTTGAAATGAAAAGTAGTGGAGGATCAAATTTATCATTTGAATGAATTAGCTAGCCACTTCTGCTTCAGAACATTCAAAGAGGTTTTTAACTTTCTTAAATGCTGTACTTATTTTCCCATCTACCCAATGCATTTAACCAGTTTTTTTTTGCGTTGTTCCTTGTATCTTTTAGTGATGTACCTAGTGTTTGTTCAGCTTATTTCATATTTTAGGCTTGTCTTTTTTATTCTCTTAGTTTTTACGCTGTAGTTTAGTTTGCTTGAATAATTGATAGCTTTTTGCGCATGTTTCCCATTTGCATGTATTCTTAGCAGTTTGGCTTGTGATCTTCTATTTTAATTGCTTTGATCAAAACTGAGAATAAAGTAAACTATTTCGTCTTTTAACAAAACTCTTTATTTCTTCCCTTTTAAAATGTCGGAAGGATCAGTCTCTTTTAAGTCAGGTTATTAATAACACTATTTGGCATCATTACTATTTTACTCAGGCATCTTTTTCTTTTTTCTCTTTTAGAAAGTTTTCTTCTGAAGTTGACTAACAACCAAGTAGTCACACCTGGTCAAAGCATGTATGGCTCTTTTCCTTTCTTTGCATGTAAGTAAGTTTGTAAAAATTCTTCGATTTGGTACCAAAAATCACCTGAGTGACTCTCAGGTACTATGATGACCCAAGTGTCTCATTTACATGGACCCTAAGTAAAGTTGTTGGGTAGGTTGAAGTTCCATCAAGATAGCTATCTAGATGGAACTCATCAATTATCGTTCATGGCAAGAAGGTTAGGTGGAAAGAAGCCTTTTTTCGAATCTCCTAACTACTTATTTTCCCTCATTCCTTATAAAACAAAATTCTGTTGAAGACTGCTTTCCAAGGAAGTTGGAAAAGTTGTTTCATGAAACATTTTTTACTAGGAGGTACTTAGGAGGAGTCAAACAAAAATAAGCTCCAAATTTGGTCATCGATGACTTTTCTAAAATTCCATTTCTTTTTTTCTTTTCTTGAAATTTCTCTAAAATTGTATTCAGAATGTAATTGAGTGTGTCTAAAAGTTTTCAGAACAAATATTCGAAAATTGTCTCAAATATTTTTCAAAGGAAAATTACCCAGGCAAAATTTACACGTTCTCGCTCTTGATTTTCTAATGGTGTTTTTTTCTTAGCACAAATGAAACCATGCTCCATTGAAAAACCATTATTTCTGGCTCGTCCATTCAATGAGATATCTGCGTAGGGAAACTAATGGCGTATATGTTGTTTCAAAAGTGAGCCAGAAATAGTGGCGCCTTCATAAAAATTAAATGTAGTCCAAATGAACGTTAATAGTTAATACACCGGCCCGGCCTCCTTTTGCTGTTCCGTCCCAGCGCTTGCTCGTGTCGTGTGAAACTTTGGAAGGCCGAAGGTGTCGACCGCAATTTTGGATGCTTAGTTTAAAGTTCGTCGGTGGGTATGTTTTTCGGCGCAGGAGAACGTTTTGCCGATGAAATGAGAGAAAGTTTGAGGAGAGGGGAGAAGGGCAAGGAGCGCTAAATGAAGCAAAAAGCAATGAGTCGTTCGTGAGAATTTCGCGCAAGTAGCGTTGGATTTAATCTTCCTCTGTTGCCAGGAAGGGCGCAAGACCCAATTCGGCCCACACCGATCAGAATTTTTCTGCAGTAGGAAACATTCGAGTCTCAAGGTGATTCGATGGAGGCCATTTTTTGCGTCAGAGCGACGTGCGATATATCGCATCGATTTGTTCCATAATTTCAGCTGCTTGTCATTTTTTTCGAATTTTGAGATCGCACTTCTGTTTTCGTGGGACTGAAGAACTCATGTACCAAATTTGACAAAGGAATTCAACGTAATAAAGGCGTGGTTTTTTTAGAGGGAAAATATCGCATTCGAGTGCAGTTTCGATATTACTATCGAATCCGATATTTTTCCTCTAAAAAAACCACGCCTTTATGACGCTGAATTTCTTTGTCAAAGGTACATGAGTTCTTCAGTCTCATGACAACAGAGGTGCGATCTCAAAATTTGAAGCAAATGGCAAGTAGCTTAAATAATGGAGCTAATCGATGCGATATATCGGACATCGTTTTGACACAAAAAATGGCCTCCATCGAATCACCTTAACTGGTTTTAGCTAACAATAGGGATTGTTAAGAACTTCGAAAAATCGATGGTAGGTGCTCTGAGGGCCTGGAAACTTTTCCAATGTGTTGTAGCGTAGAGATTGTGAGGAAACTTTTTCATCTCAATTCTTATTCTTTTTTATCCCATTGCCTCCGAAACTCTAAAACCATGAATCTAGGACCTCAAAAAACCAGGATGAATCCGAAATCTCCGAGAAAGTCAAGGAGTCGCGGGAGACACCTGAAAATCGGTCTGAAACCCCGGGAATTCCTTATTTCTCCTCTCCCGAAACAATTCTGTTCCAAAATTCGGTGATACACCCTAATGCGACGATAAAGGATGCATCTAAATATGAAACAATCTTTAAAGTTTCGTTTAACTTTGATAAATCTCTCAAGGAATCTTAAAGAAAATGAGAGAAAACCCTGGCTTGTCATCAGGAATTTTCCTCCCAAAAATCGAAGAAAATCAGGGAAATACCAGCTATCGAGACACCATGCATCAATTTAATGAAAATGTACTATAATTGTTCTCTAACGAAGTCAACTTTAAAGTCAAGGGGGAGGGAGGAAAAATCCCCTGTGCCGTCCCCTAATGACACCCGTGGGTTGGGGGACACAGGTAGTCGTCGTCGTTTCTGTGGCTTGGGGGGCGAGCCCTAAGCCCTAGTGCTGCCGCCCCCCCCCAACCATGCCCGTCAGAGGTGTAGAAAGTCCAAGCTTATGGACGAGGCTGGGGGCATCGGGGCAATTGGCGAAAGTAATACACCGCCGCGCTAAGCAACAACCGCAGATTCCCGTGGATTTTTCATAGGACTTACGTGGTTTTCGCTTAGGTTATTATAAGAGATCACGACGACGACGTTGAGACGCCGCCGTCGTCGTCGCCGGAGCGAGATCAACGCTCCCTTGGTATTCCGGCGCGCTGGTTCACGGTCGCCTATTCCCCCGTCGGATTTCGGTTCACTGCCTGCCTAAATTCGCCGGTGATCCCGTTCCACATTCCTCGGTTCCGTCGTCTCGCTTTTTTCCGGATTATAAGTCATTCCTCGTTCGGATGCCGCTCCAGTTACCTTGCGTGCTTTCCCCTTAGTCACTGAACTTGCTCTCGATGACCGTGTCTCCGTGCGGGTCGGTGGGGAAATTTCGTTGCTCCTCTGACGTATGAGGTTACATCCAGGGCCGGATTAAGGGGGTGGCCACATGGGCCGCGGCCCATGGCGGCAAATTTTTCAATGTTTTTTAAATGTAGGTATAAAAATACAATTGCAAACGGGGAAAGGCGACAAAATCTTGCATTTTCTGTGAGTATCGTAATTTCTAATTATGTCGTTTTGCGGTGATACAAAAGACAACACCTTTAATTAGTCGAGTTATAAGAGAAACCAAACACGCAATTTGGCCTGGAGCGGCGCGGCGCAGAGAGCAATGATGACGAGGACTTGAAATGAAAAAGAGAGGCAGAGGCCCTCGGCACGGCGGTCGGCGTGTAACACAAATTAGCGCCTACAAGACTGCCTGAATACTTCACGTATAGCATCAAACACAGTGCGGTCAGCAGTGGTCGCCGTGTAACGTATAGCGCCTACAAGACTGCATGAATACTTCACGCATTGCGTCAAACACAGTGCGTTCAGCAGCGGTCGGCGTGAAAGGCATAGCGCCTACAGGAGTGTAGGAATACCTCACGCATTGCGCCAAACAAAGTGCGATCAGCACGGCGCGGCGGTGGAAGTTAAAATTATTGAACCTTATTTGTGTTCTTTCATAATTTTTTCGTTCATTTCTTGTTAGTGGAAGGCATTGTCCACACAGAGGCAGGTTTATGGAACTTAACTTTCGCGCCAAGTTCTGTGAATTTTTGCTAGGAGGTAGTGTTGACAGGGCTTCCGCAAAAAATGTATCCTACACGAGTAAACGCGTCTTATGCATCCCTCCGGCACGTTCACTTGACGGTTTTTATTGATGTTTCAAAACGAATGAGATGGGGGCGGCAAAATACAGGCGGCCCATGGGCGGCAAGTAGGTAAATCCGGCCCTGGTTACATCTCAATTTCTACGTGAGCTCTGTGCTTCGTATTATTTTACGCTTTCTGGGGTGCGTGTGGAAATAGAGATACAAGAACGATGACTTATCACACCTCAGCGCTATATCCCAAAACACGTTGCATTTAAGGGGAGACTATTCCTTCATCAGCGAAAGAGTCGAGCTCCTATTTCTTTACGGAGGTTTGGCTTTTTAAGTGGCCCAGCCTTTTTGCATAATTGAAACTTTAACCTCCGTAGACCAAGGTCTCTTCCCCCGTGGACTGTCACGATGTTAAAAAGATGCAAATGAGATCCCTGGTCCTGGATTTCAGCCATCGTTCTTGTCTCTCTGCCGGACAGCAGCAGCTCCGTAATACCGCATCCCTTTCGAAACCGTCAAATGGAGACATTTCGACCACATCTTCGGAAACGCGACTCATGTACTACCGAGCTAAGGACAAACGCCGTATGAACTTACAAATGTTGCCAAATTTCCTCATGTGAAATATTTTATTTTGAAAACTTGATCAATCTTTTTCCTTTCAATTTTCTGGTAGGCAGGTAGGTACCAGGGTGTCGTGGAACTTAATGAAATTAATTATTGGATATATCAGTGAAATATTTCATGAAATTTCACGAGATTCTGAAATATGTCGTGTTTTTCGGGGACTAGAGTATATAACCTGCACCCAAACACATAAAATTATGGCGAAGTAATAAATTTTTACATTTTGCGAAACATGAGACGAACCAGGGCCGGATTTACCTACTTGCCGCCCATGGGCCGCCTGTTTTTTGCCGCCCCCTTCTCATTCGTTTTGAAACATCAATAAAACCCATCAAATGAACGTGCCAGCAGGGGAGGGGTGCATGAGATGCGTTTACTCGTGTTGAACACTTTTTTTGGGAAAGCCCTGTCAACACTACTAGCAAAAGTTAAGTTTCGTAAACCTATCTTTGTCCGACAAGGCCTTATGCCATTCACAGGAAATGAACGAAAAAATTATGAAAGAACAAGCATAAATGTAGATTAATGATTTTAACTTCGCCTCGCCGCGCAGACAGCACCGTGTTTGGCGCAATGCGTGAAGTATTCACGCAGTCTTGCAGGCGCTATGCTTTTCATGCTGATCGCACTGTGTTTGCCGCAATGCGTGAAGTATTCATGCATTCTTGTAGGCGCTATCCGTTTCACACTGACCGCAATGACCGCACTGTGTTTGATGTTATGCGTGAAGTATTCGTGCAGTCTTGTAGGCGCTAATATGTGTTACATGCCGATCGCCGCACCGAGGGCTTCTCCTTTTCATCTCAAGTCCTCGTCATCATTTTCTCATTAAGTCGCGTCGTTCCAGGCCAAATTGCGTGTTTAGTTTCTCTCTTAACTCGACCGATTAAAAGTTGCTGTGTCTTTTATCACTGAAAGACGACAAAAGTAGAAATTACTATACTC